CGGGCCTGCTGGCTGGGGCCAGACTCCCGGGGGACCAGTGCTGTGGGTGCCGCCCCCGCTCGGGGCCCTCGCCCCTGGCAGGCCCTGGCACTTCCTTCCGGGTGCTCCTCAGGCCTGTGGCAGAGAAGCCTCACTCCGCCCCTCGTGCGGCCGCGCCCTCCCTCAGCAGTCGGCCTCGAGTGCCCTCGCGGCCTCCTGGGCCTGCCCACTCTCAGCTTCTCCATGCGGCATCTGTCCCCGTTACGGCCCTGAGCTGGGCTTTCAGCGGCGATTCCGGCTGCCTTGTCGGTGACCCCCCGGGATGTGCCGCCTCCCATCCGTGGGGCGCCTCTCACCACTGTCCTCGTGGTCATTGCGGCCTTGGTTCTGTGGTGTCAGCTCCTGGCCCAGCTCCCTGCTTGCCGCTTCATCTCCTCGGCTGGTTCTCGCTGGAAGTTGAGGTTCCCCAGGTCTCTGCCTCCGCCTCAGCCCAGTCTCACGTCTCCTGCACGGCGGTGGCTCCCTGCGCTGGGGCGGTGCAGCCGGATCCCGCAGGCCTCACCTCTGCTCCCCATGAGGACACCAGCGCCTGGCATCCTCCATGTGTCTCGATGTCCCGCTCAGCAGTGTCCCAGCGAGAGCACCAAACTGTGTGCTCGGGGCTGTCTCCGGCACGCACCTTTGCTCACAGTTAGCCCTCGGGCAGGGGCTTGAAAACCCGAGTGTAAGTTCCGCTTTGGCCCCTCCATCCTCGGGTCCCCGTCTCAGACTCAGCCAGCGGACACGGGCAGCTGCATCACGGATGCAAAGCCCCACGTGGGAAAACCGGCAAGTACCTGGGCCACGCAGCTCAGGCCCACGGGCAGGGCCGTCCACTCTGCCTTGGCCGTGTCGGCTAGAACATAAACCAGCGGGGGCAGGCTGTCCCCGGCGCTGGAGCTGCCCCAGGTCGTCGTATATTGGGCCACCGAGTGGCCCCGCCTGCCGCCTGCCCTCCTGCCCCTGCCACGCCTTCCTGGCGCTCTGGGCTGTCCCGGCGCCTCCGTCCGCAGGCCGCGTCAGACCAGAACCCTGCTGCGTGCAGGCCACTCTGCTGCTAGCCGGGCGGGGTCTGTCCTCTACCCCCCTTGCCCCGCACATCCAGACGGCTCTGCTGGTCTCTGCGGCCAGTCCCTCCGCCGCCCCGCCAGGTGCTCTGCTGGCGGCAGCTCTGACGGCCACGGCCCGCCGACAGCCGTGATGCCTCGTTTCTAGACGCCACCTTGCCGATCCACTTCACTTCCGCCGCCCTGGGCCAGGCACCGGCCTCACGGCGTCCCGGGGTGCTGTTGGCCTTTGCCCAGGGCCACTGTGCGGCTTTGTCGTGGTGGGGAGCGCCCCCGAGTCGGGCAGCTCCCGGTCTGTGCCTGACCAGCCGGCGCAGCACCGCGCGGCCGCACCTCTGAGCACGCGGCGGCTCTGTCTCCTTGTCCTGTCACAGAAGTAGTGAACTTGCTGGTAAACCAGAAGTTGGCCCAGAAAGAGCTCACACGCCGTCTTCGTTTCCTCGGGGCTTGCGGGTGTCCTCACAGAAACCTTCACCGCGGGCGGTTCACCCTGCCCCCCCCAGCCGCGGGACCTTGCGAACGCAGCCGCTCGGGTGTCCGGCTGGGTGGGGGGTCCTCTGGGTTCCACAGGGACGAAGAGGCTGTGAGAACCCGGACGCGCCGCCCTACTCTGTGCCCACGAGGCTGGGCCCGGGTTGTTTCTAGGGATCTTCTCTGGCGTCCCCGAGACCCTTGTGGGAGCTCCGGACTGCTGCACACACACCTTCCGAACGCGAGGGGCAGGATCAGCTGCCCCTCTTGACCCTGTGCCCTGTAATCACCAGGTGCACCCTCTTTCCGTGATGGGGGCTGAGCCTCAGAAACAAGGTGGCGTGCAGGAGGGAGGGCGCCCACCTCAGCGGAGGGTCTGCCGGCAGAGGCCACATCTTCCTCTCCGCCGGGGGGTGGGCCGGCGGCCCCAGGCGAGACGCTGGAGGGAGCTGTTGGCCTCCCGGAGGCAGGGAGGAGCCAGGGGCCTGCAGAGGCCGAGGGCCGGAGGTGCTGACGTTGGAGAGGGCGCTCGGTGCCGGACGGGCCTGCGGCCCCTCTGGCCCAGGAGGCAGGAGCCGCTCTCCGCCGCTTTACCTGGCTGTGCGCTGTGGGTGGGCCACGTCGTGACGCTGTGTGTTCTCTCCAAACCAGCACCGATGCGTGGCCATTTTTAAAGACAAGCAGAACAAGCCGACTGGCTTTGCCCTGGGGAGCATCGAGGGGAGAGTCGCCATCCACTACATCAACCCCCCGAACCCGTAAGTGGCACCGAGGAGCTTGTACACTTTCACTCGAGACCTTTTGGGAAAGGGGAAGCCTAACGGGGTCTCTGCTTTCCAGTGCCAAAGATAACTTTACCTTCAAGTGCCATCGCTCCAACGGGACCAACACCTCAGCCCCTCAGGACATCTACGCGGTATGTTTTCGACTTAGGCTTGAGCGCGCCCCTAGAAACCAGACGGGGAGGCGGCGGCTGAGTCTCTGCGGGGCTCGGCCGGGGCTGTCGCGCTCGGAGCCCGGGGGCTGCTGCCGTGGGCGTCTGTTGCCCGTTTTCGTGCACACGGGGCTCTTCATCCTCTTGCTGGCGCGAGCTTGGGGCTTGGGCTGAGCCTCCAGTGTGGCCGCGTGTCAGCTGGTGCGGGCAGCTGAAACCGAGACTGCCGTGTGCGGAGAGAGCGGGGTGTTCTGGGCTGCTCGGCAGCTCGGACGCGTGCTCGTAGTCGGGGACGGGAAGCCCGCTGGCCTCTCCCGCGACCTGCGGGCCGAGCACTCTGGCGCGGCGCCAGCTGGCCTGCTGTTGCCCAGCAGACCCCCGGGCGCTGTGCGGAGCCTGATGTCTCCCTCCCGCTCCCGCCTCCCCTGTGGTCTCCGTGCTGCAGGTGAACGGCATCGCGTTCCACCCTGTGCACGGCACCCTCGCCACCGTGGGGTCGGACGGCAGGTTCAGCTTTTGGGACAAAGACGCCAGAACAAAACTGAAGACCTCGGAGCAGCTGGACCAGCCGATTTCGGCCTGCTGCTTCAATCACAATGGCAACATCTTCGCCTACGCCTCCAGCTACGACTGGTCCAAGGTGAGGGTGCGCCCGCGGGCCGGCCCCGCCGGAGCTGCCGTCTGCCGGCCAGCCGCCCGGCCGTGGCGGGGAGCAGGGACTCGGTGGCCGCCCTGTGCGGGGACCCCACGCAGCCGCCCCGTGCTGAGGTAGAGGCCGGCACTTGGCGCGCTGTGGGCGCCGTCCGCGCACCTGCCTGCGCCCGTGCGTCCGCTCTTGAGCCCCTGAGCGGCCTCCCCTCCCTCAGGAGCCTTCTGGAGCGCGGCCGTGGCGCGTTGAAGGCTGCCTTCTGGTCGGCTTCAGTGTCTCGCCGCCCCCCACACCCCACACCGACCTGCTCTCTGCCCCAGCTGAGCCTGCACTTTCTGGAGGCTTCTGTGAATGGAGCCGCACATGTAGACACACCTGCTCTTCTTACCTGCCTCCTCGCACTCCGGTTCAGAACCGCTTCACCCGTGGTGTGTGTCCCGTCGCGGTGAGACAGGTCGTGCGTGCGGGTCGGGCCCCGCCGGGACCCTCTGCAGGGCGTCACGGCTCAGCGCAAGGGCCTGCGTGGCTTTGAGTCCTCAGATCGCCCAGCTGCAGGCTTGGTGCCGCTTCCGGCGGGGATGCTCCAGTCTGTCGATTTCCCGTTGTTCCTTAACTTCCGTGAGACGTGCCTGCAGGCCGTCGCTGTCCGCTCGCTGTCCGCAAGCGCGCGGCTCGCCATCTAGAGCCCTGAGGGTCAGCACTGAGTAGAGCATCTGGCCCCATCCCCCCGGCAAGGCCTAGCGTGAAGCATGGCGGGAGAACGGGAGCAGCTCCCGGCGCCTGTCCCAGGCCTTCCCGTCACCAGAGGCTCCCCTCACCTCCACTCGCTGCTTCCTGACAGTCTTTCCCGTCCGGCCTGGTCCTCCCAGCTGCCGCTCCTGCTCCCTGTGGGTCAGAGCGACGTCCGCAGCCCTTCCCTCCGGCCTGCCGTGGCCAGCCGGCCGCCCCCACTGCACGGCAGCCCGGCGGGTCTGGCTGCCTCGGCCCGCCCCGCACTGGCACCGCCATGCCCTCGTCTCCTCGCGGGCATCGGGCCCTGCCCTGGGGCGCTGGCCATCATCGGGGCTCGGGGGGCCGGGGGGGCTAATGGGAGTGTAGCGCTGACTGGCCACTGCGCGTCGCCCTGCACGGCCCGAGCCCGCCACCCACTCGGCACCGGCTCCCACCTTTCTCTGAGGACTAGAGGTTTGACTCAGCGCTTGACTTTCGTTTCTGCCCGTTGACTTTTACTTGTTTCCCCCAGGGCTAATCTCCAGACACCTGGCACAGTACGTGGTATTTAAAAATGCAAACTGCTGCCCCCTAGTAATAAACGATTGGGGTTTTCTTCCTCCTAGGGACATGAATTTTATAACCCTCAAAAGAAAAATTACATTTTCCTGCGCAACGCTGCTGAGGAGCTGAAGCCCCGGAACAAGAAGTAGTGGCCTCGGGCCTCGGGCGCCCCGAGTGTCCCACTCGCCTGTATCTGTACGAACTCGGGCCCCGGCTGCGGGTCGTCCGCCCTGGCCGTCAGGTCTCCCGCCGGGGCAGCCGTCCGGCCGCTGCTGCAGCTCTCACCGGGAGGACGTCACTCTGGAGCCGGAGCCTTGGGGCCGCGGCTGGCAGCGCCCCTGGCCCTGCACGCGTGGGTGGGGACTCCTGGGGCGCTGTACTGTTATTTTGTAATAAAATATTTTGAAGATGGCTGCGCGGCCTCCTCGGTCCGCTCCCTGGCTCCGGCCAGCGCGCCCGCCGCCTGTCACCGTCGAGGGATTTGAGTTGGGGTTTCAGACGCCCTTTGGGGAGTGTGCAGAGGGCAGCCGGGGGTCACCGCTGCCGCCGGCGTGACTGGCCGCAGCCCCGCCACGCGCAGGCGGACACTTGTGGGTGTCTGCATCTTGTCACACGGGGTGTGACCACGTTCCCGGAGACACGGGCGCAGGTGCGCACGCTCAGGGCCCACCCGCCTGTGCGGTCCCCGTCGAGGGGCTGCTGGCCGAGCCTGCCCTCCCATCGTGGGGGTGGGGGCGCCATCGGTCACGCCGGGGGCCCTGGGGGGGAGCAAAGTGTGCCCAGCTCGCCGGGGCTTCCCCGGAGCCCAGCGACACCCAGGACACCCTGCTGCAGTGACGGGCGGGGGCCCCCCCCCCCCCCCCGCCCCTGCCCGCTCCACACTGCCGAGGATGAGGCCCCGCGCCCCAGGGCGGCCTCAGGCACAGCCGCCAGCCCTTCCATGACCGTCCCCGTGCTCCCCCAGTGGGTCGGCCACACTAGCGGCGGCCTCTGAGGTGCCTGAGCCACGTCGCGCAGACGCCCACGTTGGCCTCCAGACCCAGCCCCGCCCCTGCATGGGCGGCTACCGCCGCCCCACCGCGCAGGTGCAGTGGGAGACATTGAAAGTGGCAGTGGACAAGGGCCGCGTGCTGTCGGGTGAAACCCGCAGAGGTTTCCTGTGGCTGGCGACGGCCGGCCCCGTCTTGGCTGGCCGCAGGGGCGGCTCCTTTTGCGAGGGACTCTCCCGCTGCGGGGGTGGGGGGTGGGGGAGCGGGGTGGCTGCGGCGACGAGGCGCCCCAGGGGAGCTTCCCCAGGAGGTTGCCCTGCTCCGTGCGGCCAGCAGGTGGCGTGGCGAGTTGGTGCGGAGCTCAGGTTCAACTCCGCCCACTTGAACTTCTTTAAAGAAAGGAAAAGTGGGGCCTCCTGGGCCTGGGCTAGAGGCTCAGCGCCATCACCCCTGTATCTGACTGCATCCCCGGCCAGGGAGGGACCCGCAGGGCCGGCAGAGCTCTCCGGTGTCCCCGCTGCCCCTCAGCAGGTGTTTCAGTGGATCCACCTGTTCTGCTCCCCACTCTGTCTCTGGGGAATCCTCTCACTCCCGCGCCTCTGGCCTGCACCCCAGTTCTTGTATGGAAAGAAAAAGAAAAGAAAGAAAGGTGCTGGCTCTCAGTGGTTGTTACTAAGCTCGAAACAGCGGATTGCGCTATCTGTTATCCTGCCAGAAGGATATTCTTAAAAATTGTACACTTTGGGCCCTCCCTGGTGGCCGGCGGTTACAGCGCAGCACTGAGAAGCTACAGCCACTTGAGCACGAGTTCAACCCCCGCCTGCCCCGAGGTGACCACAGGGCCAGCAGACCTCCCCTGACCGCCCGCTGCCCCCCCTCAGCGGTGCGCTGCTCAGTCAGCTGTCCCGCTCCCCACGCTGCTCTGGTGAAGCCTCTCACCCCCCGCACCGCTGGCCTGTGCCCCAGTTCTGTGTGCATACATAAATCTTTGGAAAAACACACACACACCCACACCCCTTTATCTTTACAAAGATTGATGGCTCCTTGGGAGAAGCTGAAGCGCCCGCGTGGCTGAGGTCTGTGGCGGTTTAACCCGCAGGTGGGTATGGGCAGGCGGTGCCGAAGCGGCGCGGCCTGGAGCGGGGTCGGGTCGGAGCGCGCCCTCCATCCTTCCCTCCTTCCCGCGGTCACCTCGGCCTGCCGTGGAGGGGCGGCCAGCAAGCGCACGGAGCCCGTCCGCGGGCCCTGGGGCAAACGGCCTGCCCAGAGGCTGCGTGGGAGCTGTGAGTGCAAAACGCGCAGACTGCAGAGCTTCACACCAGGGGCGGACACCGACTGTCCGGTCGCGTGCACCTCGAAACAGTGGCTCCAGGCGCATCTCACCTGCCCAAACGCTGCAGATTTGGCTCCTGGGGATGCTGCTCACACTGGCAGCTCCCCCACGCGCCCCCACCCCCGCCGCCCCCCTCCCCCGTCTGCTGGGGCAGCGCTGTCTGTCACTCAGCCTTGCACGCCCCCCCCCAGCCTCCCACAGGGGCCGATTGCAGCCGAAAATGTATTTTGCTCATCTATGGCTGAACTAGCTTGGCCGCGTCCAACTTAGAAGGCGCGATCATTTCTTGGCACGCCTCCAGCACCAAGGCATCCGCTAGAACATTTCCAGCCATGGCCCTTCGGCTGCGGCGCGCAGTTGGTGGGTTTCTGCGCCGGACTGGAGCAGCTCCCCAGCCCCAGAGCTGCTTCAGGTTCCCTGGCGCCCAGCCCAGCCCAGCTGCAGTGGCCGGAAAGGGAGTGCCTGGGGAGGCCTGGCCACCGGACTCTGCAGGCTCCCCGAAGTGGGGTGGCCCCCTTCCCCTCCCCCCAAGCCCCCCACCCTGTGCCCCTCAGAAGAGGGCTGGGGAGCTGGGCGCAGCCTGGCATGTTTATCTGGCAGCTGCGCGCTCTGTGGGGGTGCGGGGACCCCTGCGTCCACATGCGGAAACTTTGAGGCAAGGCCCGGCTATTTCCACAGTAAAAGCACAATTTGCCTGCCTGCTTCGAACCTAAGTTGCCCCTAAAAGCTACCAGGTCGGTCGGCAGGGCGGCTCTCAGCAGAGGAAGTGGAGGACCTTGAGGAGCCTGGCAGGGCCCTCAGCTCCCTGCACCCCCATTCCCCACAGCTGCCTGGGACGCCTCCCTCCCATCCCCCCATCCCCTCTCTTCCTGAAAGAAGCAGCCCAGGAAGCTTCAGGGCCCTCAGCCCCAACCCTGGCGGGTTACCGGCACATCCCGCCACTAGGGGACCCCCTCAAGGACCCCAGGGCGGGGCGGGACCCTCTCCTTGGCCTCCCACCTCTTTGCCACTTGGGACTTGGAGTCACAGCCCCTCCCCATCAGAGGGAGGCCGCAGCAGCGGCCTGTGCCCGGCTTTGTGAGAGCCTCCGCCATCCTCCCAGATTTCGTGTTGACCCTGACCTTCCCCGCGCCCAGGAAGCACCTGCCATGGAGGCCGGCTCCTGGAGGAGGCCAGTCGAGCTCTGACGGGTCTGGCTGGCCTCCCGCTGGGGTCAGGGAGGAAGGACATGAGGGAGCGAGGCCGCCCTGGCCCAGCCCTGCTCACGCCTCCATCTTGGACCTCCGGCCTCCAGGACGTCCTTTCCCGCCAGTCCCCGTCTGGACCCAGCTGCCGGCGACGGTGCTCCGGTGGCCGCTTGTCCGCAGCGGTGACACTCCCGTGTGGCACTATGGGAACCTTCGTTGCCAGGCTCCCCGGCGGCTGGTCTGGCTGCTGGGCAGGGTCCCCGACCAGCTCCCCAGGAAGCCCCACTGCTGTCCACTGTGTGCTGCCGAGCTCCAGGGGTCACGTGGCCCCGGGCAGCAGGACACAGCCCCGGTCACAGCACCTGCCCACCGGGGAAAGCTCTGGCTGTCACCGTGGGAAACCCAACGGGCACAGGAGCACTCACAGACGTGTTTTCCTTACAAAGCAAGGCCCGGCACACTGCCCCTCCCCCTCAGCCCTGTGCCATGCTCTGCCGGGCACAGCAGAGTATGCAGCCACACCTCCTGCTAGGTGACACTCATTCCTTAAGTTGCGGCGACAAAGTGTCTGTCGACACGATGGGGTATCCCGCGGGTTTAGTGATCAGGGCTGTGTCAGAGCGGGCGGCCCTGGCCTCCTGGCCACAAAATGGCTACCACGGCTCCAGTCATCCCACTCGTGTTCGAGGCAGAAAGAATCATGAGGCAACTGCATCAGCTACCACTCTTGCAGCAAAAAGCTGATGTGTTCAAGAAAACCCAATAGATGTCCACGTAGGGTCACTAAGCTCTCTGAGGCCCCCCAACCCGGTCTTCAAAACGGGAGACAGAGCCACAGTGAAGAATAAAATGGGGAAGACAAATGGAATCGCAGGCTGGCCAGACATCTACTGTCCTCGGCAGCCTTGGGGGACCGCTCTTTGCCTCAGCCTGAAACCAAGCAAGCTGTGGGAGAAAGGAGGTGGCCTAGGAGCTCACCCCAGAAATTAACAACCGCAGGATATGACTCAGAAGCAGACTCACAGGGGCAAAACAACACGAACAGGATTTATTTACAGGGCGAGAGCTCAGTGGGGGCGAGTGCATTGACAGGCTGGACTGTGGCCATGCCGTGTCCACTCCACAAGGTCTGTGATCCAGAGACCAGAGTCCAAGCAGTAGCCGTGCGTGGAAAACCAGGTCCAGCCTGCCACGTCCAGGCTGGAGCCGGTCACACACATGGAGGAAGAAGAGCCCTGATCAGACTGGCCTCCGGGACGGGTCATGTGGGGCAGCAGCCCGGAGACCCCAGGCGGAGCCCGGCCCTAGTGTGGCAAGGTGGAGCCCAGCCGTGGGAGCATGCAAATCCCGGGCCCAGCCTCAGGGCACTCGGCCCCTAGCAGCGGTCTGGGACACGGTCCCCGCTGTTCCCTGCCACCAGGAGCTAAGGCCACCGGCTGGGGGTGGGGGTGGCAGTGGCTAAAGGAGAGGGGCTGGGAGCCCCAAGCTGGCATTGCACCCCTGGGCTCTACTTGTGTGGGAGGGAGCGGGCCCACGAGGCTGACTCCCCAGCTGCGCCCTGCCTCTGGGCCTCGAGAGCTGGCGGCTACTCCCCCTGGCACCAGCCCAGGCCCGGCCGGGCTCTAACACCGTCCAGCGCAGGTCTCTCCTCACCCTTCTTGCACCCTGCTCAGCCCCTGCCTAGAAAAATGTGCCTGAATATAAATCAGTATTTACCTGTTGTCTCTACTTCTAAACTGTAATCGGGAGCAGGGGAGCATGTTCGCTTCCCACCTGCAGGACGGGAGGTGGGGGGGAACCCCCTCACCCCACCCCGGCCTGGCCCCAATGGGTTGTCGATAAGTGCTGCGTGGATGGCTGATCCTCGCACGTGGGGATGGAGGGCAGCGGCGGGCCCAGAGGCCGGCATGTGGGGCCGGCCCCACATCTAGTTTAAAGATAATGGGATCTCGTCAGGTCACGGTCCAAGTGACTTGGCCCCTCCCAGTCCCAGGGGGCAGCGCTTCCGGCCCTCGGCCCTCGAGCAAGTGCAGGAGAGGTTCCTGCCCGGCGGCAGCCACGGTCCTCGACCGCCGCCGACAGTCTGCAGTCGGCTTCCTGCATCCATCAGGTGGATGGTTTCGGGCGGGCCAGGGCGGAGCCAGGCCGGGGAGGCTGGGCCAGGCTGGGGAGGCTGGGCCGGGGCGGGGCCGGGCCGGGGAGGCTGGGCCAGATCGGGGAAGCCTGGCGGGGGAGGCCCGGCGGCCAGGGAGGTTGACCTGAGGTCGTTCGGCGGGGCAGTCGCCACCTTCCCTGGCCTCTAGGGGAAATCTATGTCACACTGGAAAGTTTTCAAAGGTGCTTTGAAAGTAGGTGTCTGCGCTCTCCTCGGCGCGTTCCATCTAGCATTCACTCGACAAACAGCCCCCCAGACCCTCTGCCCTGGGACAAAGGGCAGGTCGTACCCCAGCAGGGACTGGCCGTAGTGGATGCCTGGAAGGCGCAGGACGGGGGAGGGGCCGGGAAAGTGCCCCCCGCGGGCTTCCTGAAGACTTGGGGCTCCGTTGGAGTCTGGGGCGACGGG